TCCAGAAGGAAGCAGGCCGTTCATAAAGAAGAAAAAAGGAGATTTGTATAGATGATTCTTTTTGGCGTTTGGAGGGCAAAAAGGGGGAGGGGGAAATGGACACTCTTCTCCTGACTGCGCTTTTTTGGCTTTTATGAGCGACTATGAGTTTAGACGATGGAGTATCATGGCTATTAAATACCTCGGAGAGTTAAAGTAGATTAATTGTAAGAGTATAAGAGACGTGTATGATGTGATGTATAAGTCCATGGTCCAATGTGTTCCAACCCTGTAGTGCAACGTCGTGTGCATCAACTTGGGCGTTGATAAACATGACGTAGGCGATTCGTGGTACAAAAAGTATTCGGCGGAGCTTGGTCTCTTTAGTATACGTGAATACATGTAGCAGGTTTATAGATGGATGAATTGTGAGTGATCACTCTGGCGATCAACAATTTGACCGTTGCCAATTTGTGCGTGATATTTAGCTAACGAGGCCGTGATAGTTCTTGGGCGGAAAAGTGGGACTTGAAGACTTTCACCTTGACCATTTTGAAGCGATAGAACTGCGAGTTCAACAGATATCGGGTGACGAGATATTGAAGGCAAGTCATAAAATCCTTGAAGTATACGCGGAGGAAGTGAGAGTGCCTTACGCAAAACCACGTCCCGCAAACACAAAGTCACACTCCTCTCTCACTCACCCAACCTCATTCTCATATTCATCTTTACTTACACTCCTCACAGACACCATGTACTCCCTCACCTGCGCCGACGGCCTCTCCTTCGGGCGTGACGTCTACGTCCTAGACATCCACCGCACCGCTGCCGGTCTCGCCTCCATCGCCTCGGACCAGCACCTCTCCCTGCTGGATCCTACTCGTCTCTCTGCTGGTCCTATTCGTCGTCTACCAACTGAGCACGGCAACTTGAACTGCCTTCGTGTGTTTGATGCCAACGCTTCCCTGGTTTGCACGGCCGGCGAGAATGGAACTGTTGGCGTGTGGGATCTGAGGCAGGGTTCGAGAGTGGCCCAGTTTCAAGGTGAGTCTTTGGATGCCTTGATACAGTGCATGTATGCTGATCTTTTCTCCAGCTAGCCAAAATCCTATTCTATCCATGGCGTGCAACCAAGACACAAAGACAATCGCCGTAGGAACTGAATTACAAAACCACACCGCCTCAATCCATCTATGGTACCACCCCCCCTCAACCTCAAGCCCATCACAAAGCTAACACACCTCAGGGACGTCCGCTCAACCCCAACACAAAAGGCCCACTACCAAGAAGTCCACAGCGACGACGTGACAGACCTATCCTTCAACCCCTCAAACCCAGCAATCCTCCTCTCTGGCTCCACAGACGGCCTCGTCAACGTCTACGACACGCGCATCGCGGAAGAAGAGGACCTCACTCTGCAGACATGCAACGCTGATGCTTCAGTGCACCGCGCTGCGTGGTTGTCGGCTACAGAGGTTGCGGCTCTGTCGCATGATGAGCGTTGTGCGCTGTATGACGTGAGCGAGGAGCGTACGAATGGTGATGCTGTACAGGATTTTGGCGATATGAGGACTGTTCTTGGGTGTCAGTATGTCGCTGATATTACGCCCAAGATGGATGGAAGCGGTGCCATCCTAGGCGCCGGAGCTCAGGAGTAAGTCATTCATTACCACCTTGAAACGATGATTGCTAACATCGCCAAGTAAGCAAGCCTTCGAGCTCGTCTTTCTGGCCAAGAACCCAAGCGGTGAGGGCTGGGCTTTGGATCGGGACAACAGCGTTGGTCTTCCTGGTGCGCATGGCGACGAGATTGTGCGGTCGTTTTGCTTCTTTGATGAGGAGCATGTGGTGTACACGGCTGGTGAAGATGGCAACGTCAAGGCTTGGAGACCGGGTAATTGATTGAATACACGACATGAAATGTCAATAAAATAAAAACAAAAAGGCTGGTTTGGTATTGTCGCGAGTATTTTGTTTTATGTACCTCAACACCAAAAATTCCCCCTCGTGCATGCATCACCAGCTTCACATCCCACCGCTAACCACCAACCCAAAAACCTCCCCCAACACCACCATCAAGCCCCCCAAAAATACAAAAATATATCACACAAGGTCTACAATAACATGACCACCCGGCAAAATAGCAAAAAGGTATGTTGGCCAGGGCCGCCCACCAGCGGGGCCCATGGGGGCGGATGGACTCGAACATACCCCCCACCAGTCATTGGGAAAACCGGCGGTCTGTAGCTGCAGCTACCGCCATACCGTAAAACCTCTTGGCAGTTTACATTAGATGCGTTTGGTATTGGGGGGTATAAGGCATTGGTCGGGAGGTGGTTAGCGGGCAGTGCCAGAGGACCGTCAGCTTTTTTCCAGAGCAGTGTCAGGTGGCAGACTCACCCAATCCCTAGCAGTACAGCTCTTGAAAGGCCAATGACCTGCTTTAGACTCTTCTGCGGTCTCCTTACACCTTTTCAGCCAAACTTGTCATGCTTGCTCTTGACCTTCAACTCCAACAACCGTTCATGATAATCACCCTCCCTCCTCGCCCTCTTCAGCTTTCGCACCTCATCCTCATCCAACCTCCGCCCAGCCGCCTCCTCCAGCTCCCGACGGCTAATCTTGGCGAGGGCCTTCTCCTCCTTTGACGCGCGTAGCTTGGGCTTGAAGCGCGCCTGCATTCTGATCCGGAAGGTTGTGTTGAACGAGATGACGTCCGCGTCTCCACGGACCTCGGCGGCTGCAGCTTTGCCAGACTTGGATGCCTTGGTGCTAGGTTTTATGGTCAGGAGGGTATCTCGAAGCGTCTGGAGCTGAAATGTTCCTGGTGTGTCTGCCGTCGGGATGACGTTGAAGGACTCGAGGGGCGATACTGCTTCTGATGTCGCAGACAGCGATCCGATTTTGTCGCAAGAGAGATACCTATCACGCCGTGTAAGTAAAGAGCCGTCTTTGTACAGGGGTAACAATAACTCACCTCCCATGATGCCCCTTGAACCGAAAGCTCTCTGTCCCAGAAACGCGGTTCGCGACCCAAACCTGTCGCACATCATGAGGCTCAGCCGTCGCCGCATTTCCATCAACAATATTCTCGATCGGTAGCGTAAACACCGTCCCTGAGGGGTCGCAAGCCAACGCAGAAGGTGTATCCGTCGGGAGCACAATCATGACAGGCCCAATGACGTCCCCCGTGGCCTCGGCCGACACCCAGCTATCATCGCCCTCTACCTCATCCTCAGTCTTCCTTTGTACATCCGACGGTCCGGCCTCGATGTCGTCGCGAGCTGCCTTTTCGGCGTCTGTTCGCTTGCGCTTCTTCTGCTTCTTGTCGCCTTTGAAGGTCAATGGTTTGACCATGATGAGATAACAATGCCGTACTCGGCGGTTGGCGTCGGGTGGTTGATTTGGGTGGTGAGGCTCTGCGATACGATGTTAGAGGTGCGCTCGGGAGGCGGCGAGCTCCACACGGAGGGTTGTCGCTTTGGGAAGGTGTATTTTTACGTAAGCCCACCTCCCCGCAGCTTTGCATCTGCCGGTGATTGCTTGGAGCAGGTATATAATAGAAACTGAGGTAACTACATGTAAATTGATTCTCAATTATATCTCACATTGATTTGAAGCTAGAAGTTGATTATACTCTGATTCATCATGGCCTCTCAAGCAAAAGCTGTCACTGTTTCACTCCAGGACCTCAAAGATGGTATGTACCCCACCAGCTTATGACGGCTCTTATCCGTCTTCATGATAAAACTGACACGAGTAAAAGGCAACATCCCCTTTGAGACCCTGCAAGAGGCTTTTGGCCCAGACTCTCTGGGAATCCTCGTCGTCAAGGACGTTCCTCAAGAATTCCCCGAACTTAGACACCAGGCCCTCTCTTACGCCTCATATCTTGGCAACCTCCCCAAGGATGAGCTCGGTAAGATAAGAACCACAGCTCTTCAACTCATTCTAATTCTTCATAGAAAAGCTTGAGAACTCCCGCTCAAAGTATCTGACCGGTTGGTCTCTTGGAAAGGAGACTCTTAAGAACGGCCAGGTCGACACCTTCAAGGGCTCTTACTATGCCAACTGCGCCTTCTACGTCGACCCTACCCTCGAGTGTGCCGTCCCAACCTCCGAGTTCTCTATCGACACCTTTCCCGAATATCTTGCCACCAACGTCTGGCCTCGAGAGGAGATCCTTCCGGGATTTAAGCCCTCCGTGACGACCCTGTGCCGTCTCATCATTGATGTTGCTGTTCTTGTCGCTCGTGCCTGTGATCGCTTCGCCCAGCAGGACATCCCCGGATATCCTAAGGGATATCTTGAGCATGTTGTGAGCTCGTCGAGCACCACCAAAGCACGCCTGCTGCATTACTACCCCCAGGAGGCAGATCCCGCTGCCAATGGAGGCGATGAGGATGACTGGTGTGCTACGCACCTTGACCACGGCTGCTTGACCGGTCTTACATCTGCCATGTTCATCGACGAGCACAAGACCAGCCCTGCTGTTCCCGAGGGCACGAGCCTAAACGGCGCCTCCCTGCCCCCCCTCGAGGAACTCCCCTCATCCCCTGACCCCTCCGCTGGACTGTACATCAAGTCACGCACTGGCGAGACCGTCCAGGTCAAGATCCCACGAGACTGCATCGCGTTCCAGACTGGCGAGGCCCTTGAGCGCATCACCGCTGGCCGTTTCAAGGCCGTGCCGCACTTTGTTAGGGGTGTGAGGCCCAGTGTGAGCGACGGAAAGGTGGCGCGAAACACCCTGGCCGTCTTTACTCAGCCCAACTTGGGTGAGGAGGTGGACATTGCGCAGCACCTCACGTTTGGGGAGTTTGCTAGAGGTATTGTGAGCAAGAATACCGTGTCATAGCGATGCAGTTGAAAGAAAGAAAACAGAAAATAAGCAAAACTGGTTGGTCTTGGATGTAGTTTGCAATATCTGTATGCTAGCCACTCACTGTTGGAACACTATTGTCCAGAGTATCCTCGTTGCACATGCTTGGACCAGGATGAATGTAAAGATCGTGTTTCTAGCTATATAGATATCTATCTATAAATACCAAGTTAAATCGTTTAAGGGGCAGTACGGTGACTGCACTAGAAGTGAATAGTGGCATATAAAATGCCAAGGTTTTCCGGGCATATAGGTAGTGCCTCATCTATTGATAAAAGGCCTTAAATGAACGCACAAAACATAGGTCGACTAGAGCTGTATCCCGACAAATTGGAGGGAAACAACTCAAACTCGAAAGAAAGTAGCCATCTTTCCCATCACAAACAATCAATCAACATCCTAGCGCATAAAGTCCACCAACTGTGTGAAATTGACTGGGATGGCGTGTGGACTACTAGTATGCGGAGGTGTTGAGTAGGGCACTCTTTAAGCCCAAGCGCCGACGAGACTCATAAAGAAAGCCCCGAAGAACACGAGCAGGCAGGCATAGACACGCTTGCGGCCACGCAGGAAGCGCCAGCTCTCATCGCTGAGGAAGTCCTCGGAAAGCAGCTCGACAAGGGACGCAAACGTGAGAAGTCCAGCCGAGATGGCATTCATGACTCCAACAACGATGAGACCAACCTCGGAGTCAGGGCTATAGAGCATGTGGGTAGCAAGACCAATGGCCTGTCCGAGGGGAGTAGTGCATCCGTATGCAAGCGCCATGAACCAAGGCTGAAGCTTGCCTTCAGGCCACTTGATGGCTGCAATTCGAGATCCGAGAGCCAGACCCTCAAAAGTCTGGTGAAACACAATGGCGATAAGCAGAATGATAAACTCGTTTCCAATCGACACGCTGAGGGCCATGCCGATAAAGACGCTGTGGAAGAGGATACCAAGTTCGAGCAGCACGCACTGGAGAAGCTCCTTGCGCTGCTGCTGCTCTGGGGATAGAGCTGGCATCTGTAGGGACTCGAGGCTCGTCTCCTCGAGATGTTTTCTTCCTGACTGAGCGTTGTCGTCGTCTTCGCAAGCCTCTTCTTCGAGGTTTTGCATCTGCACTCTCTCATCTCTGCTGTTGAGAACAGACAGGCCTTGTCCGATGCTTGAGGATCGTCCACGAAGGGGCCCCATATCACGGATAGGAAGCATGCCTACGCTTCCCATGCACCCACGACCGGCGTGTGCCTGCTGGTTGTTGCTGTTGGTGGACGTAATTTCAACAGGTGGAACATGTCGTGAAGGGTGAAAGACCATCTCAATCACAGTGACGAGAAAGATGGCCGCAAGAGCAATGGCGCCTGGCATAGCAGGGTAGTCCTGGTTCCAGAAGCTGCTGAGGCATGGGTCACCGAGAGAGATGAAGGCCGTGGGGAGCAGATGAACAAAAGCTGTAGCGATGAGAACGCCGGTACCAAAGTGGCGCACGGCAAAGAAGAAGCGGCTTGGGATTCTCAGGCCTGGGAACTTGGTGGCCAGAATAGGAAATGCGCAGCCCAGCGTCGAGACAAACAGGATGATGAAGAGAGCTCCGACGTGAAGAGGAAGGTTGTAGTCTTCCTTGTCAACGCCACCCTTGGCGCAAGTGTTTCGCTTGCGGAGGGTAGAGAAGTGGTCGGCAACCAGTGACTCCTGAGGCTTGGGCGACGGGGCTTTGGCAACGGGCGAGGGCGAGGGCGAGTTCCAGGACGAGAGAATCGTCGAGACAACAAGGACAGAGAGGACCCAGATGGTCCAGCTCCAAATGTGCGAGGCACATGACGAGAGAGCGCCTCGAGGAAGACGGCTGTGGTCATCACCACCAGCGACCGTCTTTAGACGCGAGGACAGTCCTAGGCTTGTCAGTATACATGACAAGAGGTGGGTGGATCGAGGTTTGATGGTGTTGAAGGGAGAGACAAGGAAAAGATCTACGTACCCGAGATACGGGACAGTCGTCCCGCATCGTTGGGAGAACCCTTCTCGGGCTCGGAAGCTTGATTCCCAGATTGATTACTGTCATCACATGCACCTAGGAGTGACCCGCTACTGCCACCGCTCCCATCATCCTGGTCAGCATCAACATGCTCGCGCAGGTTGGAGATGCCATTGAGGTCCTGGCGCGTGGTGTGAGAGGCGGCCAGAGGCGAAGGGCTCTGGTTCCAGGTGAGGTGTCGGTAGAACGACTCGTCCGCTTTGGAGAGGCAGATCATGGTGAATGCTTGTTCAAGTTATGATGCCGCCGTAGTGGAGATGTCGTCCGGTGATGGAGAGAAGAACTCGCCGGCCTGTGCTACTTGACAAGCGAAGCAGTCCACGTTCAGAATCAGAAATTGAGCAGGTCAAGGTAGTTCAATGCCTATGATGGAAATAAATTGAAGAGGGGGAAAGGTTGTAGATAAAAGAACAAATAGATCTTAGGCCGTTGGATCAAGCTTAAAAGACAAAAGGGTTGCGGAGGAAAAGTTAAAAACGCCGGGTTATGAGTGGGCAAAGCAATCATGAACCTTACAGTTACGGGCTAGCGAAACCCGGGGGGCAGGGCCTCCTCACCACCGCCGCCCGGCCGTACCTGCCCTTGCACCTTGGCTTGGAAGCTGGGCAACTGGGGGCTACAGTATGAAACTAGAGGCAATCGGAAGCTGCGACCCCGGTTTTGCCCGCGTGATGATGGAGCCCACCACATGGCTCAGGGGTACACCACACGAAGTACCTGTTCTTGACTTACCTAAGGTGAACTTGGTTGGTTCGCCGCCGGCGCACTCTCTGCCTGCGGGTATATACGGGAGATGGTACGAGCTGTCTTTGTACCGCCACAACGACCCCCTCCTCCGTAACCTGCCCTCCCCCGTAAACACCCCGTCGGCTCCCGGCGGCCGGTGAACGTCCGGGTCGAGGCACAGTTGAGGGCCGGGCGGCGTTGGCCTCGGAGGACCTCCGTGGCTAACTCCATAAATAAACCATGTTGTTTTTACGCCCCTAGTATTTGATCACTTGATGAAAAGATAAAAAAAAATTGAAGGTGGATCTGACGTCTTACGTATGAAACAAGGAGGACTCATCTAGATGCGTTTCTCCTCAACCGGGGGGGAAAGGTCACGTTGACAAGATTCCATCGATGGAACTGAGACGGAGGGGCTACATTCCGTATCTCGTGCGGGGGAGAATACGCCGGTCGACCTTGATTGTCTTGGCTCAGCGTATTCGGTGAGCCGAGGTGAGGAGGCTACAGCCAAGGATCAATCGATCACTTCTATGCGCTGCTGCAGCATTGATGCATTTGGCCCTTTGCATGCTACATATGCAGGAAGGCGAACTTCGGAACGCATTTCTGTCGGTGACGATATTTTCTGATAATTGTTATCTTCAATGGACTTGAATGTCCAGTTGATAACCATACCCTGGTCACTCACTCATTGATGACTGCCGTGATCGGCGAGCATGTCATCCAGGCGCGCGGACATTGTCAACTGCCGCATCTCACACACCCTTGATGTTGAATTCATATTTAGAAGAAGTCTTGTATTCCATGCTTAAATAGAGTGCCAATGAGATAGGTAGCGCTGAGACAATGCTCATATCCATGAGTAAAGACTGACTGGCGCTGACTAAGGCACCTTATCAGTTTCGTGATCTCAGCGAGCGCTGACATCATTGTCCTCCGATTGACCTGAATATAACCTCAGCGATACCTCGATAATCAACATCTCACCCAAGTAAAACTCTCTCAAGTCTGACAAAGATGGCACTCCCTCCCAAGTTCGCCGGGCACAAGCTCCAATTCGCGGCCCCTCCATCGGCCCCCTCTGCCGTAGCTCACACGACTCACACGCTCGAGTTCTACCTCGACTACTGCTGCCCCTTCTCTGCCAAGATCTTCCGAATCCTTCGGTCCGCCGTCATCCCGGCCATCGAGGCCAACCCGGCCTGGGCGTCTAGCCTGGTCTTTATCTTCCGACAGCAGATCCAGCCTTGGCACCCGTCCTCGACCCTCATGCACGAGGCCGGTCTCGCCGTGCAGCGCCTGGCCCCCGAGCGCTTCTGGGACTTCAGTGCCGCTCTGTTCGACGAGCAGACCTCCTTCTTCGACGTCAACGTGGTCAACGAGACGCGCAATGCCACCTACCGCCGGCTCGCCAAGGTGGCCGCCAAGGTGGGCGTGGACGAGGAGGAGGTGTACAAGCTGCTCGAGATCGCCTCGCAGCCGGGCGAGGACGGAGCGCTGAATGCGGGGAACCAGGTCACAAACGATCTCAAGGTCATCACCAAGATGAACCGTCTGATTGGCGTGCACGTCACACCGACTGCCGTGTATGACGGCGTGGTGCAGGACGTCAGCTCGGGATGGACCAAGGAGCAGTGGGTTGAGTGGCTTGAGAAGAATGTCGTTTGACTAGCAGAGAGGAGCAAGCTCTGATGATATTCACGAACTCACTGATCATAAACAATGAATGCATTTTGAATGTCTCATGAATCACCATGTGTGTGGTGTCAATATTTGGTTGCCATGTGCCAATATGTCGTAGCCCCATCACGTCCCGAGCCGCGTCCTTCCCAACCGGGATCTTTTTCGACTTTGTCCACATGAGCCTCTCACACGTCAAAAACACCAATCACACAATCAATCACCATGATACAGCTAAGAACAGCGCTACCAAGGCTAAAGCCAAGCCAATTGGTACCTCTATCTCGCCAAACAGTGCCCTTCCAGCCCATCTCTCTCACCCGTTCCCTCCGCCGATCACTGCAGAAATCTCTACAGCAATCTCAACGGCGATGCTACGCCAAGCCTGTCACTCCAGCTCAAAAGGCAAGTCGGATAGAGGATGAGCTTAAGCGACAAGCCAGAGCAGCTTCAAAAAATAACAAGGAATTTGGTACGTAAACCCGAATGAGCAGTGTCGAGGAGTGTACTGACGCTCAAGTTAGAGCTCCCTGAGAAGCTCATCATCTATCATGCCGGCACAGGACGCACAACGTTTCTGGCCATGGTCAAGATCACGACCCTATTTATCGGAGCATTCTTTTGTTTCATAGTTGCACCGAGCTACATCAAAGCTGACAAGCCCGAGTGGGAGACTGCAAGTGGTATGTCACTCACTCACTCCTCGTCTCATGTCTTCACCATGAGATATCACATGTATCACGGGACACTAACACAAACCAGTCGTCCTCTGCGGTATCATCCCCATATTCTTTGTGGCCTACACAACATCCCCCTTTGTCACCCACATCCACATCCACCTACCCCCATACGCTCGCGCCTCGCGCACCATCCTTGAGCGCTTCGTCCGCGCCCTCCCGCCCTCGACGCCTCTCACTCTCACCACCATGAGCGCCATCTCCAAGCCCCGGTACAGCAGCATTCAGGCCGGCGATCTATCTCCCGTGCGCCGTCGCTTTGGCCTCGTCAACTACGTGCGTGACACGACCGAGGAGAACGCCAAGCGTCGCTGGTACATGTTCCGCGCTGTCGGCAAGTTCTACGTCCAGGACAAGCGGCAGAGGAAGGTGAGGTATGAAAAGAAGACGGACAAGGTTGATGGGTGGATCTGGGATTCTATCAAGGAGCGGATTGACAAGAGAGCGAACAAGGCCTAGACAAGACACCCCTTTGTACTTCTTCGCCGGTTTTGTACAGCCCTGCCCCATGTATCACCACCGACAAACTACGTCGTGTATTTAAGACGTCACTATACCATACCAAACCATTCCCATAGCACCGCCAGTCACGATAGCAACCGGTGGGCTCACACCCAGCCACATACTCCCAAAGAAGCTCGTGGCCGTCGTCACAACCCACCAAGGCTCAACCGCCAGACTGGTCCCGTTGCGATAGCCCTCATCAATGTACCCAATCTGCCACAGCCTATACACCGCCGTGTAAATGAGACCGACTGCAGCCGCGTTCACGCCTCGAACCGCAGCCTTGACCCATCGCCATTGTCGGATGGTACTCCAGAGACCCATCGTCCCGTGGACGAGCACCAGCCCTGGGAAAAAGATGCCAATAAATCCAATGAGAGCACCCGCCACAGAACTATACCCGCCATTGATGGCGGTCAGACTTCCGAGGTAGACTGCAAAGTTAAAGTTAGGACCCGGAAACGCTTGGATTAGCGCAAGGCCGATGAGGAAATCTCTAGGGCTCACCCAGCCCTCAGCAACGACATACTCACGCAGCAGCGGGATAACAACAGGGCCACCGCCAAAGATAATGGTGCCTGCGAGGTACATGTTGGCAAAGAGGCTGTAGAGAAGTGGCATGTCGGGGATGGTGCCGCGCAGGACCATGACGACAATGAAGCTGGTGAAGAAGAGGCCGATGATAAACAAACCCAGCTTCCATGACATGTTGAGGATTCGGCCTTGGGGGATGACTCGTGGTTCTTCGGCGGTAGACAGCATAGATGCCTCCTGAGATGTGCGGTCTTGGTCTCTGGCAGAAGTGTTGCTCCGTCGCGAAGCAGCTGGTTCTCCCGCCTCTGTTGATGTTCCTTGATCGACACGAACAGACTCGCTATTTGGCATCTCGATAGCCGCCTCTTCTTCTCTTCTCCTCTGTCTCTTAACCAAGGAAGCAATCTTCTTCACAGGACCGTGCAACCATCGATAATCATGAATAACAGTTGCAACTCCGCAAAGCACCATGAGCACGGGAAAGTACCAGAGCGCATTGTATAGCATGCCTGCTGAGGCACTCAAGAAGACGACTACACGCGTCATGCGGTCCGTAATGGCCTTTTGCGACAGCTGCACCGCCGCGAGCACGATGATGCCGACGGTTGCGGCGTTGAGACCGGAGAGAAGAGCATAGACTTGACGGGGCAGGGATTCGCCAATGTTGGAGACGCCGATGGAGAGGGCGTACATGCCGATGGCTCCAGGAAGACTATACCAAAAAGTGAGCTTGTTGTCTCTCATTTCCAGCAACAAGGACTTCAAGTGTAGAGCAAGCATACCTCCAGATGAAGAAGCCCAGTATCGCAGACCAGAACCCATCATGAATCAAATTGATACAATAGTGCATCTTTGTGCTCGCCGGCCCGGAAAGGGCCTGGCACACGCTGAAAAGCTCCTGATACTGTCCAACTCTGTCAACATCCACGACCCTATTCAAGACATGGTAAATCAACTCACCACTTGCTCATCCAGCCACTGCAGCTTGACCGTGAACTTGTCATAAAACTACACAACCAAGTCAGTAACTCCCTCACCCTCGATCTTGACGAATGGCCCACAATCTTAAAGTGCACAGGCGGACCCCCGAACGAGGTGAACCCCATGTGCCAGTTCTGCCGCACGGTGCTCCCGAGCCTCTCCACAGGCACACATCCACGATCGTGATTCGTCATGGTGTTGTAGTTTATCGGCAAAAGATGCAAGTGCCGCTTTCAACGCATGAAAGGTTGAGAAATCGCGCAGAGGCTGCCAGACCCGGGGCAGGCGAGGTTATAGGGGACGAGATGGACGGGGGTTATTGCGTGCTCGCCAAGACTGGCTTGACGCTTGGTGGGAAAAGGCCGCTAGTATCATCACTATGACTCTTATTTCAACTCCTCCATTGGAAGCGAGGGGAGGGTCAAGCACGTCAAAATCACAATACGAGAGAATCTAACCAAATCTAGGCACCCTGTTGGGCTACCCTCTTATTTCTCAATATCAAAGGATAAGGAAGCCCATGGCGGGAATACATGATAACGAGCACTGTTCCGCAGCTATTCTGACGTCTTCCTTGCACTACCACCTCGCATCTCGCGCGGGGTTTAGCGGCTCCTTGGCAGCCCTTGAATGAGTTTAATTCAACGCCATCCAGACGCCATGTCATGAGAACAAGAGCCTGACAATCACACCTCACCTGGTGTTTCTCGGCTCTTGTGTGTCTGTCACTGTACCTGTGCGGCCTCGAATATCTTCATCTCTACTAACTCTACCGTCATCCGCAGTTGGCAAATTCATTCAACCAGCTTTTCATTTACGCTACAGACTCCGAATCAACACTGTCTCCATGTTTTGTCACGCACATTCATTTACCAGGTTCACACTCTGCACAATAGCCGCTGATTACACGCAACTTTGGTATTCGTGTTGCATCCGATAATGTCAAGTCCATTGCTCCCGAGACCTTTTCCTGCCGTCCAGGTTCCCCTCGAGATCCCCCCCCGCTTCACCAAAAAGACAGGTATTAATACATTGATGTTGCGTATCCGGCCGGAAAAAAGAGGTCCCTTTTTGTTCTCGCCCATCAGGTCATCATGGTGGGTTCGAAAATCAAACGCCCCCATCATAGCTCGTTAATGCCCCCATCAAATCCAAACCAGCACAACTATTCACAAGTCTTTCACAATCCCAGATACAGACGCCATCCTCCACTTCTGACTCGGTACCATCCATCATCATCATACAAAAGACACGTGTTCAGGGGACGTCCCCCAAAAGGAATGTGCCGGGGAGGTTTGAAACCCTCCCCCACTCCAACGCCAACAAAAGAAAACTGGCTGCTGCGCCAGCAAGCCATGGTCCGCGCAATGCTCCAACGTCAGGTCGCAAGAGGGATTATTCGCCCAGTGAGGTCCAGCCTTATGGGGATGTCGCCTCCGTGTGTGTGTGGCTTAATCAGTAGCCCTCATCTTTCCTCCTTCAATGTCGCTTCAGTACCGGACCGTCGTAGTCCCAGGGACGCTTGTTTATCCCTCCCTCGTAAACCGAAGCAACAGACTCCTGCCACATGGCCGGTGTGACGAAATTCGGCACAGGGGCGGTTGAATATTGTGACGGCGACAATTGCTGCGATCCACTCGGTAGAGAAGCCTGGACCGCATGGATATCCTGAATGGTAGGGACTTCCGTAGCACCTGAGGACGAAGCGTTAAGAGGGCTGGTCTGAGGTGGGGTGGTAGTGGTCTGTGAATGAGTAGGCGTACCAAAAGTCGTGTTCCATTGTCTGTGAGTCTGTTAGCACATGCAATCCAAACACTGGCAGGCCTTCTGCCAGGGCGTCGATAACCTACTCAAAAATTCTTGACGGATTCCATCCAGGCTGATCCGTAAGCGGCATACTCTGGGGCATGCCCGGAGCCTGGGTTCCTTGCGCCATCATGACGAGCGACTGTACAGCTGGGGAGTCACTTTTGCTGTCCACAGGGCCCGCGGATATGGGAGGTGTGATGGGATGGCTGGTATAACTGACTTGTTGGGCACCGTGCGTATCCAGGTGCTGATCTATGGATCCTGATCGACGGATGACTGGCCGGTAGGGTTCCGAGGCTCGCGGTGGACTAGAGTGGCTGGACGGGTGAGGGCTCCCGTACGGAAACGTTGGCTTGAGCACAAACGGCTTCCGGACATCTGCAGAAAACGCCTCTCGCAGGGCATTGATCTGCTTCTCCAGCTCTGGCATAGACCATGCCTCCATTACCTTCTCCAAGACTCTCATATGTCTTGTGAAGAATTCACGCGCATCCGTGTTGAAATCGGGATCGGGAGATACAATCGCAACCTGTCAAGATGAGTCAGTATACAGCCTGGTGCCAGTCTAGAGCTTCCATACCAGATGAATGACAATGCACGATAGACCGCTGTAGAGAGAAAAGCTGAAGCCTCTTTGCATACACTGGAGACCAGTGAGTCCAAAGGTGTTGAGGGTGGCCTCTTGCAGCCGGCAGAGAGCCTTTGCTGAGCTGTAGCAAATCATCATGTGGCGTTTCCATTGTCCATCTGGCGAGTTGGGGTCGAGGAACGACAGGATGGGTCGATGGAAAAGAATCAGTGCGAGGTAGTAATAGGCATGCATGTTTCCAAGGAAGTGCGACGGGATCCAAGGCGGCGATCCATCCTGGGGAAACGACACAGCCAGCTCTGCAGGCAACTCCGTCAGCCATGTGTTGAAGCTTTGACCCAGCTGCTGGAATTCGGGATCGATGCCCCATTCTTTGCGCCTCCGGAGTCTCTGGTAGACCTTGCTCATTGTGGCTATGGTCCGTACCACTTGGGCAAAGTAAGTGAAATTGCGCGACACATGATACTCAGAGTCATCACAGCCAGGGATTGGCCTAGTAGGAGACAAGTCCACCGAGTCAACGTTGACGGCGTGATCATGCCGGCCTAAAGAGCTTGTTAGCCATCATCCTGGGCGCTTCGAATTCACCAATACTCACCCTGAGGAGCTCCAACCATCACCTCGCAAACAAAGACAACCTGCCAAATGCGAGTTCGAAGCTGACACTCTGCCGGGCCGAAATCGCAAGAGTGGCCTGCCTGATGATCTTCATAGTGTTCGTCGAGACCCAGGTCTTTCCCCATCTGCACACACTGCACAACCGTCATCCAAGACCGATAGTAGTATCCTCGTTTGGGGGCGGCTTCGCGAGCCTTGAGAATCATCAGCAGAGCTTGGAGAGTGCTCAATCTAGGCACATCCATGAAAGAATCCGCATGCCCTAAGAGGTGTAAGCTCGTATCCATCGTTCAGAATAAGCAGGGAACGGAATCGCTTACGAGAGGCCAATGCCAGCCATTGCTGGCCTTCAGTCGGCTCCTCCGCCAACCGTCCACCAATCGCAAAGATGGCTTCGAGTATCAATGGTGATATCGCTTCTCGATCCGTGTTCCACTGCTGATAAAATATGGTTTTGCACAACACGGGCACGTATGGATGTACATGGCTGAAGTAAAGATCGAAGTAGTGCAGTGCTGTCTCCTCATCTGGCATCAACTCAGGCGGGATGCGAATCTTGAGGCCTGGCGCAGGCATCAACGGCGGGAGAGCACTGGTATAATCTTCAGAATCTTCAATGGCTGGTTGCTCTTCTCGCCGGAACGATGCCTTGTTCCTGAGATATGGTGCTGCGTAATCATGTTAGGGACCTCCCAATATGTCATCCTCTCAAGATAAACAATTCTCACCTGTTCCCGTCTCATTGACCTTCAGTGTCCCAAGCAGATCTGCGAGATCATGATGCTGATACTCTCCTGGGGAATATGCCTCCGGTGATGGCTGCTGCTGAGCCTGTTGCATCGGTGGCGTAGGAAACACGTTCTGGCTCGCATATGGCTGTTCCATCATAGGAGCAGGAGGCGGAACGGCTGCATAATGTAGGCTTCCCGGTTGCTGTTCATACGGAACAGCCTGGTAGGGAGCGCCGCTTGCATCGGGGTAGGCCGATTGAGTTGCGTACATGGGCTTGGGGCCTGGGTTTAACACCTGTTGCTGCATAGACATTTGCTGATATTGATCAGATGGGTTCATGGGCGTCGTGTCATAAGTCGTCGAGTCGTTAGCACCGTCGAAACCGTTCGGGCGCACACAATGAAGCTTCAGCCTAATGCAGGCAGAGCATGGCCAAGTATTCGTCGTCGCGGCATCGCATTTAATCTTTCGTCTCCGGCAACCTTCGCAAGCTCTCATAACTACAACCAATGTTTTAGCATGCACAGAAAGACATGGGAATGTCTGAGGGGACGTAGGGTGCCGTTTACCTTTCAACCGCTTGTGGCGGTTGTGCTCGTCTACAAAGACATAGTCTGTACGCAAATGTTAGATCCCATGCAACAACGTCTTTTAAATCGAGAATCGCAACGCACTCTTTTGAGTCTCGCGCTGCGTATACTGCTGAGGCGCAAACGAAAAGGAATTCATCTGGGAGTTTTGTGGTAGAATGCGGCGAACGGAGGGGTCGTTGTCGGACATGGCAGACGGCGCGGTTCTGAGGTCACGGCCTCGAAGAACGTCAAATCGTAATGGCAATAGCGGCCAACATGAAATCGGCGCGCAATGCGAAGGAAGAGAAAAGCGACAGGGTCGTAAAGCGAGGATTGATCAAGTGGTAGGTACTCTTTCAAGGTCGCGCGCAATGAATGAATGGTAGGGTAGAGTAGAGTATGATCACGGCGGGGTGGAGAGGCTCGCGGGACGGACCAGTCGTGACAGTGGGTGACAGTGGGCGACAAAAGCAACGGTAAGCGTAAAATGTCGGGGTCGGCTCGACGATGAAACTGCAGTCAGTCCTTGCAGTTGCAATGCAGAGGACACACTGGAGATGTTGAGCGCAACGATGCGAGATGCGCTGGGCGAGGATAGGGTGCTGTACAGATGTGCCAAAGGTGGAAGAGAGGGAGACGTATTATCGGACGGCCGGGGCGTGTCGGGGCAGCGAGATGGGCGTCTTTAACTGAACCGCAGAGTCGGGTGTTTTGGGACGCCGTGTGTGGCTTTTACTTTTGACTTTGTCCGGAGCAGGGCGGCAGAGTGCACATGGATGGGAGGTCGCTGGGGGTCGTGACCCTGGAGCTTGGAGCTTGGCCTTTTGAGACTGAGAGAGCCTTGACCTGGCTAGGTAGCTAGCAAGTCGAACACTTACCTGACCGTCAGTCCTCTAGGCTGGGAGGAGAACAGATGGTGGATGGTCTTCGGGCTGGGGTTGCTTGGGATCACGACAGGGCGACAAGCAGGGCTTGGACAGGGGCGAGACAGGGGAGGGAGATGCAGGTAAAGGAAAGCGGCGTGCGGGTGTGGGATGAAGGCCCAGAACCAACGTGGATGGTGATGGGGCGGCGAATGTCCCAGAGCCAAAGCCCCCAGGGCCGGTCGTGGGCACCGGTCCGAGTGAGCGGCGTGCGTAAGTAGCCTAGGTGTCGCAGGCAACCTGACCCAGGGCAAGACAAGACAAGACGTGAAATGTGGGCGGTGGGTTCCTCTGGCGTTTCCGGGTCCTGGGCTGTGGATTGTGGAGGGCGGCGGCGTGGTGGTGGTGGTGGTTTAATTGTCCAGCAGAGAGACAAGACCAAGAGCCGGGGAGACTTTCGCGGAATCCACGGAGCCTAGGCTGGGTCCATGTAGTTTAAGCAGACGATGACATTCGCATTGGCCCAGCAAAAGGCACGAGATGACGAATCGAGCTCTACGGGCGCACGACGGCGACGGCGTGGGTTCCCAAGCGATGATGACACAAGTAGCACTGTCCGCCGTAATTATGGCGAGCCCGACCGAGTAGTTCGCACCGTCAGTCCAGTCCAGTCAGCGCACAAAAGCAAAAGTATTGTCCGGACGGAAGAGTCGCGTGTGTATTCCGTTGCGACGGCATTTGGGCTCGGGAGGGGAGCTCCCTTCCAACTTTGGATGAAACGGGTGTCCGAGACTCTGACCAAGGGGTGTGAAGGACCGTCTATCGAGACTCGATCCAAGCCGGGGTTGGACGTTACGGACTGATCGCGTTGAGCGCGCAAGACCCATCAGGCTCGGAAGTTTGGGAGGTTGCAGGAGGGGGAGGGGGATCATCCCGTCTGGTGTGGGTGTGTGTGGGTGACAGGCATTGGTGGACAGGTACTAGACTGCGCTGCTTGCTGGCAGAGAGAGCTAGAGCTAGCTATCCAAGGCCGTTTTGGCGCGACGGTGCATGTTGCCCCTCTCTCGCACTGTCACCATGTCAATGATGATGAATGATGGTGGTTGTATGGAGATTGTGTCTTGTGGTACGCTTTCTGGATACACCAGAGAATTGTTTCCTTCCTAATTCGGCGGCGTGCCTTCCAAGGCCCTGCCTCTCTCCGCGCCTGCCCAGACCAGCTTCCTTGTGGCCGTCCAAGCATCTACCGCGTCGCTTCGCACCTTCCCGTCCTTTCCAGTCACCTTTCACGATAGGCGGACCAAAGGCAAAAGGCATGCGGATGCCGCATGGCTGGTTGCAGCATGCACCTCACCACTTGGAGAAGTCGCAATTAGGGCTGAGGGGCGGCGGCATTTTACTGACACTGTCCGGGGGTGCTCCCGTCTTCCCCTTGGGCTTGGCCTTGTGCTGTATGTATGTAGTTCCGCGTCTACGTCCTACCCGTTCATTTGAGGTAAGTTGTTTGACCTGGCCCAGGCTGTCAACACGAGCGAGTTGCGGCGGCCGGCAGAAACCCTAACCTCCCGTCGAGTCAAGATGCGGACCGACTCCGCCATCGAGTTCCGGGTTCGCCGTTGTGTGCGCCCCGGCCGTATCAGGTATCTATTGGCGCCCCCATCTCGACGACGTGGTCAATTCAAGGTGAGTGAGTGAATGAATACGCGGTAAGGCTGGCGTCTGTGCCCTGATCCTGTATTCTACATACAGATTGTTGCTAAACTGCATTCGTCCATCTCTACGACGCTCCCTGCTATTCCGTTTAAAGTAGTTCTTGGTCCTGACTGGCCGGTCAGGTTCTCCCAGCTTCAAACCCGGGAAATGGTCTTGAAACCATCGTCAGCGGATGGACAATTGGTGAGGCCCACCGCAGGCCTCGCAATCTACTGTACAGCACAGCAACTGGTGCAGCAGCGAGCGCAGCGCAGCGTACATGGTCACCAGGTAGGGCAGTGATGCATGCAGGGCAGCCCGGGGCGTATCCGGCCAGAGCTCGGGCTCTTCCGCCTGCCAGAAGGGAAGGGAAGGGAAGAGGGGGTCCTTGGCATGGAGCATTGAATCAGGACGATGGGTCTGTCGAGTTTGGTGGGCAAAGGGTTTCGTGCTGTGTCGGAGAATACATCTAGGACCGCTCCACCCCACCAGGGCTTGAAATGGAAGCCCTGTTAAATGACGAATGCCGTCCGTATCTCGTGGGACCCATAGCATATATGAATAGACGCATATCGTCATAACAGGCGGATATGAACTTCCATGATTGTTCCGTCCGTCTATTGCACTTCAGGGAGATAATAATTGCTCCATTATAGAAACAGCCATTATTAGAAACTACATCCCTGGCATTAGGAGGTTGTGCCTCGGCTCTTTTGTGCTGAATAATGCTGAATGCTGGGTCTAGGTTGTTGTTTTGCCCACGGAAGGAGGTATCCCGGCATCTCAATTTGGCCTGCCTGTGGCGATTGTTGCACGTCGTCCACTGACGACCAACTCCAACTTCACCTTGGACATCCATGCCTTCAAACTCTGCACGAACACTCAGCATCGCCATCAGCCAGCGTCTAAACTCCGGGCCCAGAAGGCTCTCTAGATTCGCACCTGCGACGTCACCAGCTTCACCGAACCCCCCTCCCTCCCTCCCCTCATCGACATGGGAGCATCCAACAAGGGTCCTACCAGCCCCTGGTCGGTCAATCATCTGCCTCTTTGGGAGTGCCCAGGGATTTCTGTTCGCCCTCTCTCCATCTTCGCGCTTTCATGTCGAGATGTCCCGCCATCTTAGCCGGCAGAACCCTGCCCCAGTTACCGACACCACGGCCAAACTAGCTCCACTCCATCCAGACGTCTTCTTCTCCTTGCTGATCTTCTTGTGAGGTCCAGTGGTCACCCTGGTTGCATCCCCATGACCCAAGACGATGCTAACGGTTCTTATCCAGACCTGCAGTAGCTCGATCCAAACGCAGTGTCAACAATCATTGCTCTTGCTGGATCAATCCATATCCACAGATCCCCAACGACACCGGGTCTTGGCGCAAGGGGCCTTCCGTGGCCTGTATTTGGGGCACATCTCATGGATGGATTGTCGAATGATTCTCGCCAAGCCGTTCCATTCCCGCCACTTCTCCAGGCCAGGTGGGCTGCATGATCATGGTTGAGACTTGACAAAATGAGATGTCAATCTCACTTTCTTGTCGTCTTGCAGAATGGCCGCGTGGAGATCTAGCGTGCAGGTCCTGATTTCCGCCGCAACGGTCTCACGCACCAACCACCATTGTTATCTTCCTCCCTCGATACGACATGTCCAAGTCAAGTTGAGAATACGGTTGCTTGCAGTTGTCAAGGAGCAATACACACCCTGTAGCTCCAAAAACTTGATCAGTTTCATTGATCACAACTGCTACATTCCAATCCAGCTGCCAAGTAACCAAGCTTCCAGTCGGTGAGCATACCCCAGACTCAAGTCACTTACACGGCAATGCCCACAATTAACGGCTCACACTAATGCCCAATCAGGTTCCAGCCAAGCTTTGCGACTGACCCGAGAACGGGAGTTTGCGGCCCTCTCCGCCTTCCCAGGAGAAATCATGGCGAACTCCAGAGTCTTGATTGTGGGCTTGCCTCCTTTCATCTTTCTCTCCACACCAATCAGATTGTGCCTGGCTCCAGGACTCACATCAGAGCCCAGGACCAGCAGCCAGCCTCAACATCGGTGGCTTCCGGCATCTGTATCGAAATACGGCTGGGCAGAGCCCTTGCCTGAATGGCTCAGGTACCCAGGCAGAGCGACGATCGATCCCTGAACCATCCCTCCCGCTCAGACCTTTCTCTGGTTAGCGGCCTTTCTGACGGTCGGTTAAGCAAGAAAGCTTTGGATGTGGCGACGGTCAGGAGCCGGCGCACTTTAACCAATCTCTAGTCCTGGAACGGAACGGAAGGGCAGGCAAGCAACCAGCCAAATCAATCTCGTGTGCCGCCTGCAACTTGATTGAAGCGAAATGGGCCAGGGGAGTGAGTGCAGATACTTGCGCGGCTAAAACCACCTAGGTCGATGTCACATGCCGCCCACCTGTCAGAGTTGGCGCGACATGGATGTGGAAATGTGCCGAGGCTCAAGTTCCCCGACGTGTGTGTGGCCGGGCCGACAACGATTCGCCGCTCGAATCAATTGCAGTAACCAAGATGTCGTTCACACAATGGTGGTTTCAGTGGCCTGGCGCGCGGTGCTCCTGGGTCTGGGCCTGGCTGACTGACAGAGACCGATGTGAGGATGAAGCGACACTCCACCTGCCCCTTCTCTAGAGAGCGATGA